GCTCCCGGAAACGCAGAAGAACTGCCAGAAGTGACGGACCAAGTGTTGGACCAGGTAGTAGGAGTTCGTTCAGGTTGTGCCCTTGGTATGAGAATGAACAGTTGAAGACCACCCTATTCTTCTCATTATGTTGCACCATGTGGTGCGGGATGTACCAGGCTTCCTTTGTTCTGTTCGCCTGTTCCTGATTGAGTTTTACAACATACCCAGCGTGTACTAGCTTGGTTAGTTCCTCTTGGTATACTGCAGCCAGATCAGGGTCCCTTTCAAGTCGTTTCTCAATTGCTCTTAACTGGGGTAGAACCGCTTCCTTAGGTGCACAGAGACGAGGCATGTTCTTGACACGGAGCAGAGGAGTAGCATATCGTTGAACACCAGCAATATCCACTCTCACAGTAGTTTCTTGCAGAAGCTGAATGCACTCATTGTCTTGGCGTGACCTGGTGATCACCTTTTCACTCTGGTAAGGTAGAACATCCATTTGCCACAGTCTCTCCACGTTTGCATAAAGGTCATTGACAGGCCGCAGTGAGGTGAAGAAGCATTGATCAGAGGAAAGATGACTGCTCAATTCTTGAGTTGGACCCTGCAGTGTCCATCCCAGACGGGTTCTCACTGCTGCCGGACCACCAGGGGGCCCCAGTCTGACTGGTTGTATAGGTGTGATAAGGTGTGGGCAATCAGAGCCAATGAGAAGCACGGGTTGCACCTTGTTCAGATGTTGTAGTGGTAACCCGGCAAGATGCTTGAACTTTCTTTGCAGCACACTGACTGGGTGAGTATGTTCTGCCAGGCTAAGTACATTGGCTGTGAAGGCGTTACCGATCTTGTAGACTTTGCTGGGGTTAACAGTTGGAGACACCGTAAAAGTCACTGCTGCTCCATGAATTACCTGGGTATCTTGTCTCACGGTGCGAAGCATAAGGTCCTCAGATTTTCCCACAAGTCCCAATTTCTCTACTGCATCATGCAAAATGATGGTCCGCTCTGATCCATCGTCCAACACAGCATAAGCTTCAATCGCCCTATTACCATTCCGAATTAGTACCTTTGCCACCTTAAGAAGCACTTTGCTACCGGACGTTGAGCGGTCAACATACAAAACAGCACTAGACGGAACTGCGTTCTGCTGATATGGCTTGACTTGATCATTGACTTCATGCAGTACCAGAAGGTGCTTCCTGTTGCAAGTTGGACAGAGAGTCTTTAGTGTGCAGTTGGCTGCTTGATGTCCACGACCACAACGCCAGCATCGATTTTTAGTCTTTATCCAGTCTATCTTCCTGTCTTTGTTGAGAAGCTTGAAGTTATCACAGCTATTCAAATAATGCTTGTTATTGTCACAGTATGGACAAAAGGCCTTTCCCTTCTCTGCTCGGGCTGGATCTGGCTTAGACGTGGCTGACGACATCAGTGTGGACGGTGACTTTTCAGTCCCAAGGAGAACTGTAGTTGGTCTGCGAAACTGCTTAGGCTCTCTTCTCACCTCTCTGATATGTGCGGAGGAATCCTGTTTCGGTCGACATGTATACTGACTAGTGTCCTCCTGCACTTGAAGCTCGTATTCCAGCCAGTCTGCAAAGTCTAGCAGTGTAGGAATAGCAACTTGCAGTGGGTGAGTATATCTTTTAAAACTAGACCTAAGGTCATGTGGCAGTTTACTCTGAAGGCGAGAAACATGTGATCCACATTCCAGCTCTACTTTACCTTTGTGGCCCAGCTGTTGCAACATACTGACAAGAGAGCGTACCTGCAGTCCAAACATCCTAAAGGCTTTAACATCTCCACTGCGTATGTTGGATCCATCCATCAGCTCAGAGATTCGTTGCAGGGCTAATTGATGAGGTTGACCATACATTTTAGTCAGAGCTCTCATAGTGTTCGTGAAGGAAAATCTCGAATTGCTGTAAGAGTCTGCCACTAGGAGGGCCTCCTCTAGTTTCAGATGGTCTGTGAGGATTTGAAACTTAAAGTGTTCTGTGGCATCATCAGGCAGGATGTTCTCCAAAGCAATTCTCAGCCTTGAAAACTCCCTAGGGTCAGGAGACGTAAGGAATGGGATGGTAGGGGCTGGACCTCTGTAAGTTTTCTCATTGGAAGATGAGGGGAAGAGATGCTCTGAACTGTATTCTGCATGAGCTGGCCTCCTAAAGTCCTGTGATGGAACCAAATAATCAGGCAGCTGAGGTGGAAGAGAATACGGGGTAGAGTTGCCATACCTGATCTGTGGTGGGTCACTGTACTGTGTTGTAATAGGGATTCTCTCCTGTGAGGAGGAAGAAATGTTCATGTTTCTTAGATCCTCATTCAGCTCGGAGCTTTCTCCTGGCACAGCTGAGCATGGCTGTCTCTTTACAGCAGGTGATGGCAACTTGGAGCGTGGGGCTGCTATTGGGCGGTATGACTGTGGAGTCGTAATGTTGACTGCTGGAGAGTAAGACCGTGGTGATGGCATTGGTGAAGTGACTGACTCAGTTGGAGCTCTACACTCAGATTTCAGACTTTGAAGCTCATGACAGAGTACAGCATTCTGTTGACGCATCTCTTGTAATGCTGTGATGATCTCAGGAAGCTGGCTGGCCTGTTGTTGCAAAGCTGCGTTCTCCCTCTTAATCTCTTCAAACATGGCTGTAAACTCTGGTAACTGTTGCACTTGCCGTTGCAATGTAGCATTCTCTTCTCTCAGCTTTACAGCAGTGCTGTCCCAGCGGTCAGTCAATCTCCATTCTGAACAATCTGATGCTTGACTGACTGGTGAAGTGGATCTGGAATGACCTGTAAGACTTAGCGGTTCATCCTCCTGTACAGCTTGGTAGTTAGACGACAGTGGTTGCTGTCGACGAGACCCAGGTCCACTGAGCTCATAATCCTCGAAGTAAGCTGGAGGGTAAACTCGTCTCCTTGGTCGTGCGACAGGGGTTTCTCTTCCTGGATGAGACATAGCTGTAGCAGTCCACTCATCCGGCTCGAAGGACCATGTAAAAACTGCTAACCACTCTTTTATATTTTCTGGTTCGGATTAATTGAACGGCTACAGGTTGTCCGGTTAGAACAGTATGTCTCACACCAGGGGGTTCTTGTAGATGCTTTATTGTGCAAAGGTCAGGCATGTAACCATGTATGCGACCATGTATGTGGTTCTGCAACAAACAATATACAGAATATGAATAAACCTAATTACAAATCACAGATCTACAACAGTATTACAATACTGGTATAAATATAATCAACAAGGTTAAAGGGTCTTAAAGAAATAAAGCAATATGATAATATACATATATTTATAATTCTGTATCAATGATTATTTCCACACTATATGTCTAATTCACGCAGTGCTAACAGCGAAAACATCTAACGCGCCCGATAGACATGCCCGTACATGTTCCCCGAGACCCAATCGAAGTCCACACAACATACGAATATATCAACACTATGCTGATAACAATACAGGAGGATAACTTGCTATTTAAGTGACAATACAAGTGCAAACATAACCAACAATATGAATACTCAGATAAAATGCTGCGACAGCGCTCTTCAATCTCCCTCACGGACATATTATGCGATAAATATGCAAATGTACTTACTATTAGCTGCACGCACACACATAATCTTTAAATCCTTGAACGACAGCACTTCGATCGAACTTAACTGTTATTCACTATAAACACGTCTAAACATCCTCTATTCAGACGATCTGACTTCTTAACTCTCCCGAAACTTTTCTCGCACAGTCCAACTCACGAACAGAGGCGGGGGAGATCGGGAGAGTCCAATTCAAAGGGGTGGCCTTTTCTACAATCTAAGTCTGATGAATCAACAGAGAAGACATGTGGAATATAGAAGACGCATTTCCGGTCATTTTGCCATATATTTGTTTGTATCTGATCGTTTAGAAGTGCACACAAAACCCAAAGTTTGCTTGTCTAACGTTAGTTGCAATCCATTTCCGAACGCGCGCCGCCATGGGAACCGGGGCAACGTCTCTTGCGCGGATCATTGTGCTTTTAGTAGCTGTTTTTACTACCAACGTCCCGCAATTTAGAAACCGCAGACACTGCACTTTACAACAATCACCGATTGTGCTCAGTGCTGATTCTGACGTTAAGTTTGCGTTTAGAGAGAAATGACTGTCGCACGCGCTGTGAAGGGAAGATGATGCGCTAGACGAACGTGGTTAGTTTTTAATAATTTTACCTCACATATCTTCTTTTTATAATCCTTGGAAGCCAAAATCGAAAATAAAATTAGATTAACTAACTTACCCAGATCAAATGTATATTTGATTTGCTTTTGAAGCACTCGGCAGATATCATATGAACATCGTCAGATAGCTTCGTGAAATATTTTCTAACATTAGTGTTGAAAACTCAACAGTCCATTGGATGTGCATCAAACTAACATATTCCAACATATTTCGACATTTTAAAATGCGTATTTGTGAAAATATACTTAAAATTTAATTGTTCCTTTCCAGCGGTGTCCGCCATCTTAGTTGAAAAATTTGACCGGCTCGCTGAGTTCGCAAGGTATCCTGGGTAATTTCATCTTCCACTTCGTTTTAAGCCTGCATCGGACCGCACTATGTTTTGAGGGTTGATTTTAAGGGGAGAATAGCACTCCCCTTTGCTCTTTGGAGTATTGGGACACCCTACCCCTACACGAGAACGCGCAAAAACAAGGGTTAGGGCAGAAATCTAGGGTAAGGGGAGGTATTGGGACGCAGCCTTAGACTAAGACTAAAACTAAAAGGGCTGCCAAAAACAACACTGGTGAGAAGTCAGGATTTCTGAAGTGAAGATCTCATGTTGCACTTTAAATTAACTGTGCATCGAATAACTAAACTTGTATTGGATGTTGGCATTAGTGTAGTTGCTCACAAATTAAAGTACAATTCAAAAGTGTGTCACTATAAACGTCTGTTTAGTGCATGATGTTTTTAAATTTGCAGTATTGATGGAGCACTTGAAGATTCGTCATTCGGGCGTCTTGTGAACGATGAACACAAGGCACCAAATTGCAGAATGAAGTTGATCGAAGCAGAAGGGAAGCCACATCTCTGCCTTTTTGCACTAAAAGAAATCGCGGCAGGAACTGAAATCACTTATGACTATGGTGGGAAAGAATGGCCCTGGCGTACAGAGGTGGGTCATTTTGATTTTTCCCCTATACATTGGTGTCAAGGTTTAAAGTATATATTTTGACATCTTGATAACAATGAAATCATCTCTGTCTTAAAAGCTACTTTGTGTGTCAGTTTCATGATGCCACAGAGATTACACAATACCTATAGCTTGTTAGCCAACAATTAGAACCAAAAAACAGAAATCACTGCTTGGTGGTATTCAATCCGGTTTTCAGTCATTATTGTCAGGTTAATCTTGAATTACATGACACTCCCAGCTGATGCCAGCAAGCTTATCTGTATGTTTTGTCCTGTATGTTTTTAGATTCCCCCTACAGTTACAAGCACTGCTGCCCAAGAGTCTATTAAAGAACGTTTCCAAGACCAAACCATGTCATCCACAGTCTTTATGGAAGGTCAGTGACTGTTTGATTTAATGTTTTATCTAGCTGTCAATGGTGTGCTGTAGATGAGTAAGAATCATTTATGCCACATATTGCCATGTTTACAGAGATGGTCTTACATTAGTTATGGTGGGCATATAAATGTATTGTGTCTATAAAGGATGTGAACCAGTGATAGTATGGTTGCTTCTAGAGTGATGCACAACCTCACCATCCCTGGCCTTCCTCATATTCTCTCCTGTATTCTACAGAGACCAGAGAGAGGCCAGAAGTCCAGTCCTGCAATATAACATCAGGCAGTTCTGCTTGTGAGGTTAGGTTGAATACAGTGTCTATTGAAGCAATAAGTCCCATTGTTTTACAATGGCTAAAGAAAAAAGGTCTCAACGCAAAGCATCACCATGTACACCTGGCATAGTTCTATTGAATGGGGGCACAGCCAAATGTAAGGGACTATTTGTAAATAACAATTCTAACGCAAAATATATTTTCTGAATTGTTAGCAAGTAATTCACAAATGCAGACAGTGTAACTTTTTTAAGGTGTACTAACATAAAACAAAATGCAGCCAGAGATGTGATGTGGGAATTTTACAACACGATCAAATGTGATCCAGCCAATCATATTCAAGGGTCAGAAGCAGAACATTTTAAATTGTTACAGTCTTAGTCAGGTAAACTATACAATATCACAAATGTGTAGGTGATGTCCAAGTTCACATGTGCATTTTCTGTTTAACTTGTTTAGACACAGCTCAGTGGTGCAAGCTTCCCTTCTGGCCAACACTCTGCTGCAGTGCTTGGTGACCACACCAATGACTTGGAACCCAATGTTTTCTCTACAGATTTATTCAAAGGTGAGTCCCTGCTTGAGTAAGCAATGCCTGTTAAATACTGGGGTCTTGCAAAGCACTGCCTTCATGTCCTGTGTTCTCTTCAACAGACACCGAATTGAGAGCACAGTGTCCGTCATCTAGTCCCACACCAAACAGCCCTGAGCATGAGGTAAGTTTGAATTCAGCTGTTTATTTCGGGATGTATGAATGTTTAGAATTGATGTATTTTCGTAAGGGACATATTTATGAATTAATTATACTGCAGATACAGTCTGAAAATCTTTGTCGGTAAAGATAGTCATACTTTTAACATTTGCATATTGCTCTTCTTTTTTAGGTGCACTGTGTCAGAGGTCAATGTGGCACCACTTCTGTGACAGAGGAGATTGGAGAAGCTTGTGTCCAGCACCAGGAGGTGTCATCCCCTGTGTCCTCAACAGACCTTGCCACTGGTCAGTTATAGTTTTGAGTAAATGTTGTTAACTTCTGGCAATGCATGTCATGCCTGCTGAGGGTTTGCAGCATGAAAAACATCTGGCAATATCAGACCATTTGTAGATGATTATTTTATGGCTTGATGGATATTTTGTCTGTCAGGGATGCGAGTTGAGTTTGTTATGCCTATATGTGGTTTTATGACGCGAGGAAAGCCAAGCACTGAATCTCCCTGTCTTCCCTTGTACAGAGACCGAATCGAGATCAGAGTGTCAATCATCCAGAGCCGGGCCGAACGACTCTGCTTGTGAGGTGAGTTTGAAGTCACCTGTGTTTTGAAATTGACCAATGGTTAGAAGTACTGTGATGTTCCATGGAACACAGTTTTCAGTGTCTTAGTAAACCTCTTGCAGCTACGGTGGAATCGTCCTGTATTCAGTGTGGAAGGTCTTTTCTAACCACAGTGTCCCCCCAAACACTGGTGTTTTTCTGTGTGTGCCACACACTGGGACTTCAATAGTGGAAATCTTAGAGTTTGAGTTAGGATGTTTGAGATGGACAGTGTCCTTGTATACCTTGAGTTTGTCTGTGTCTCACACACGTACACAGATTTTTACCTTTTTTTCACAAAATTACTTAAGCTACTTAGAATTGTTTTTCTTTTCTTGCTTTACTTAATTAGATAGTCCAGGGTTAATCAACCTATTTCCTTGCAGGTTGAGGTTATGTAGCCTAGTGCTGTGGCTAGGAAGAAGAGAATAATCAAGTTTCTTTTTCTTTTTTTTTTCTACCTACAGCACTTGCTGTCTTCAAACAACAGCGCTATAGGTTGATTTACCCTGGACCTGGAGATTATCTTTTAGTGTTAAGCAAAGCCTTTGATTGGTAGAGATCCCTGTTGCCTTTTTTTTTTTTTTACAGATAATAGAAGTTAAGCAGAGTAAATCTAAATTTGGCTTTGGACACAGGTTCAGAAACTAGATGTGTTGTGTTTTTTAAATGCCAGATGAAGGTTTACTTCAGTATTTAGAGGAATTGTCGTTTTTTGCCATCACAAGAGTTCCAAGTAGAAGCATATCTTTCTCTTTTGTGTGTGTGATGAGTGACACCCCAACAGTTAGCCAACCTAAACATAAGTCACATGAATTGAATAGATATGCTTCGCTATTATATCTCAAAAGTAACTTCTTTCCCCCTTTTTTATCTCTCCTGATTGATTTGTAGAAAAGGTTGTGTGAAAGTAAAAAAGCCAACAAATTTTTTTTTAATTCATGATATAATTTGTGTGTGTAAAGGTTTTATATTTATTTCATGTTTTAAAAAATGTTTTCACAGTGTGCAATCCATAAGCTGGTTTTTGAATTGGTGAGAATTGACAAATGCTGGATATGCCATTCACCTTTGACATCTATCAGATGGCACGGTGTAAGATGCAAACGTAAGTGTGTTATTCATCTTCTCCTAATTAATGCATTTCTCAGTACACCATAAGTAGTTTAATTTCATGCCATCGGTCAGTTCCAGACTCACACCTATAAAGCATGTTAATTGAAAGTTTTATCAGTTCAAACCATTGCGGTGGAAAACACTGGAGTGGCAGATACTATGATGTACCAGGCAAGAGAGTTTGCAAGCTGAGGCACATAGCAAAGAACAGAGAGCATACCTGCAAACTAGTTGCCTTTTGGCTAAATTTACCGTTTTGTAATTAAAATAGGCCATTTACGTAAAGCAAATGAGTTTTTTTATTGGGGGGTGGGGAGGGGGTTGCGGCGAGTCGGAGAAGCTGCATTTCAAATCTATCACGCAGGGTTTCCCTGAACAAGTTCTTAATTCCTTTGCTATTATCATTTATATTATTAGGCTATCTATACTGTCCTATTGCTCTTTGTTGATTAGACTTAGGCCTAAGTTAGGCTACAACCTTAAATTCTCGCAAATGTTTTGCTCTTTCATCCGGTTCGCTGCAGCTCGGCTAAACGCGTCTTTAATGGACTTTATTCATTGGCGTGACTGAAATAAAATTACAACTTATAGATGAGTTGTTTGCAATGTTAACCCAATCGCACAATAAGCGAAACACCGCTGTTTGAATTGTTGTAGACGAATTTCAACAATCCCATATTTACGACGATACCAATGCAAAAAACACAGTTCTTGGTTTGATGCGCTACGTGAACATAGGGCAATGTTTGTGCTTCTTCGTCAGCATTTTTAAAGATTAGCTTGGCTGAAAAGCATAATGCACAAACGTTTCATTATGTTTCATGAGTATCAACACAAGCAAAGTGCCCTTAAGTCCGTGGTGCGCTCAGGTCATTACTAAAGTCATTCTGTAATTACGCATATGCTCACAAACTTCAAAGATGATGTTAAACCCTTTGAGCAGAAACTATCAAACTTGCAAATTTCTTTGTGTCTGTCCAATAAGGATTTCCAAGTGTTTTTTTTCTAACTTCGTGCCTTCCAATAAGTCACTGGGCCTTGTTTACGCATCTGAGTTGATAATAGTTTGAGTGGGCTTTTCGAATGTGGTCTTTGAATTTAGTTTGGCTAATTGAGATGATAAATATACTGTATATAAAAAGGTCATAATGAACAAAAACTTTAGGGCTAATAAATGCAGACCTAATTCAATAGATCCATTAAGCAATTGGCAATCCAAATGCTTGTAGGTGTCTCCACACCTTTCCAATTACTTTCCTTTTATTCTCACAAGCCTTATTAATTAATGTAGGATAAACATTTCAGCATTTTTGTTCCCCATTAGACCATTCTGCCAGAACTCAAAAAATCTGCTTTTCATTCTGAACTCACTTTATGCTTCAGTTTTCAGTTCACTTTATGCTTATGTTTAGTGGTGTTGGTGAATTTATTGTGTGGGATCACTACATACATTTTTAACTTTGACTTTGAATGGGTAATGTAAATGCTCTGCCACTCCATTGAATTCTACCTCAATGGTCGAAACCTGTGTACTTTTTGTCTAAATGGAAAATTTTAGCCATCACTCAAACTGTGCATTTGTAATGAACAGTTCATTTTGTTAGCATTTCTTGATTTTGTATGTTTCATTAGTGTGAAGCTGTTTGCATTTAATATTAGAAAATTAGTATGTAATTGGTCAGCATGGGAAATTGATCAATTGTTGTCTAATGCTGTGGTTTGCCTAATTTTGTCTGTGAAGAATGCTGTGGTGTGTGGCATAAAATCTGCCTCCAGAAATCCTCAGAAGACTGGGATATATCAGATGTAAGTGTGCATTGAAGTATAATATGCTTAATATCAATAGGATGGCTCTTAGCAGTTTGTTTTTGACATCCATCCTTCCCATGTGTATTTCTGTTATTTAAAGATGACTGTATTTAATTAAATTTAATTAAATAATTGAATGTACTTTACAGGACGATGTCTCATCTGGCGACGAGTACATCCCAGCATCTGTATCGGATTCAGAAAGCTCAGGGACAGAGTTGAGTGTTGAGTTGCCTGGACCATCCAAAAAGTCCCATACCACTAATATGCCTGATTTAGGTGTTACTTTCGCTGAACAAGAACAGACCATAGATATAGAGGACAACTCAAAGGATATCTGTAAGAATATCCTGATGGATCTAGAAACTACTGGTGATCTCCAAAGTGACCCCGAACCAGAACCAGAAAGCTCAGAGTCATACCTGCAGAAAACAAAAGATGCGAGTAACAAAAAGGGTACTGTGGATAATCTTGGCCAAAGTAAATCCCCAACTAAATCAGCGAAATTCATTAAAAGCCAAGTCAATTATTGTTTTGTATGTGAAAAACCTCAAACAAAATTTGCACGTCATCTCGAGGCATGTAAAAGAAAATGCTGAAATCGCACAGGCACTCCAGTTCCCCAAATCATCAAAGGACAGAAAGGTTCTTCTTGAGAAATTCCGAAACCTTGGCAACTTCAAGCATAACTCTATTGTTAAAACCACAGGGTCAGGCTGTCTTAAAGTGAAAAGGTGTTCCAAACAGAGCAGCAGCTCTGAGACTTACGATTACTGCTTGTACTGTAAGGGTATGTTATCCAGAGCCGAACTTTCTCGACATATGAAGAGATGTGCTCTAAGACCCGAGAATAATGTTGAAGAGGGACCTGAGTTGAGAGAGAGAGTCATTGGTATAGCATCTGCTCAGTCTACAATGTCACAGCCAATTTCAAGTGAACTTTGGTCAGTGCTGGGCAAAATGCACAAGGATGACGTGTCCACTGCAATAAGGAATGATCATTATCTCATGCAGTTTGCCCAGTCCCTCTTTAATAAGCATGGGAATGACAGATCAAAGCATGAGTATATAAGACAGAAAGTAAGGGAACTTGGGAGATTACTTGTGACTTTGCGCCACACAACTAGAATCCATAACATGGAAGAGGCAATAAAACCAGGCAACTTCTTTATTCTTACTAGTGCTGTCAAGAGAGTTTCAGGTTTTGATCATGAAAACAACACATTCAAAGCCCCAAGTTTGGCCCTGAAAATTGGGCATTCTCTCAGAAAGATAAGTGACCTCATCATGTGTCGTGTCCTCATGGAAGAGGACCAAGAGGGGATCGATTCCATCAGAAGGTTTCATGCACTTCATGAAACAAAGTGGTCTGAATTAGTTTCCCATTCTGCCTTATCAAACCTGAGTGAGGCAAAATACAACAAGAGCAGCAGGCTTCCACTGGCCAAAGACGTCCAGAAGCTACAGTTATATCTTGGTCAGCAAGTGGAATTGGCTAAGGAGAAACTAGCCGATAACCCAACAGCAGGCACTTATGCAGCACTAGCAAAGGTGACCCTCTGTCAAGTCATTTTGTTTAATAGGAGGAGGGAAGGTGAAGTGGCACGGATGACTGTAAAAAAATTTGAAGATCGTGACATGTCACAACTAAACGATGACATAAGCACTGGGCTTACCGAAGTTGAGAAGAGACTTTGCAAACAATTCGCCAGAGTAGAATTGAGGGGGAAAAAAGGACGAAAGGTTGCTGTGATCCTGACTCCTGATATGACTGCTAACCTGTCACTCCTCATTAGTAAGAGGAAAGAGTGTGGAGTAACTGAAAACAACAATTACCTGTTCGCTGTTCCTTGTAGTGATGGTCACTACAGAGGGCAGTTTGGTCCATTTGCAGATGCTTGTGGAGCTGAAGATCCTCAAAACCTCAGATCAACTAACCTTCGCAAACAGATCGCCACAATAAGCCAAGTCATGAACTTGAAAGATAATGAACTGGACCAGCTGGCTGATTTTCTGGGCCATGACATTAGGGTGCATAGGGAGTACTATCGACTGCCCCAATCAACAATTCAGCTGGCTAAGATATCAAAGCTGCTTATGGCTATGGAGAAGGGAAGTGTGAAGGATATTCAAGGAAAATCTCTGGACGAAATTGGTGGTATGTATCATTTACATGTTGTTAAATCTACTTGGTGTATGTGTAATAAAATGTGATAATTTTTACAATGTCATTTAATAGATGACATAGACGATATGGATACAGGATCACAACTACTCCTTAATGTTTCCACATTGCAAGGTACTGTTAAAATTGGGTCCCACGGCTACTAAAATTGTTGCATTCCATGTTGCGGATTTTGTAATTGTATTGGTGAAATATTTAAAATAGGCTTTTTTTTTATATATACATTTAGATAACTGCCTACTGTTATTTAAAAAAATGAACTTTTTATTGCCTACCCTCCTTGCTGTGTAATTGATACCAACGTTTTTTTGTTGTCTTGTTTTGTTTTTAGACAATGAAGAAATGTTGGCTTCTGGCACTGTTGAATCACCTCACCTCTCCGAGACTGCAGCTCAAGGTATAATCTGAATGATGGACCCAAAGTTTGCCCAACAAATCTAATGTAATGAGCTAGATCTATGGGTTCATTAGAGTTTATTAAAAATGTTTTAGTCAGGAATTTTCCAGTAGTACGATGGTTATAAACTTGGCTAGTATTTTGATGTGTTCAGTAGTTTGCATGATCATTTTAAAACAACAGCGAAGACTTGGCCTGTGTAAAATCTACATTACCTTGAGTGATAATTTTACTAGGAAATATAGTTGCACAGTTACGCTCTCCTGACTTCATCCGGTTCAACAACTTTGCCATGCGTATACTTATTATAATATAGAATTGGCTGTCTACAGTTCTACATGTATCCCCTCCATGTCCATGGTGTTTGATTGGTAGGCAGACAGGCTCTTTAAGCCCATACATTTATACTGTGCAATATTTTTTTAGATGACCAGGGGAACGCTGCCTGTGTAACTTCTGGTTCACCTCATCTCCCCGACTCAGTTACTCAAGGTATTGTATAAATGCGATGCCATGTCCATCACTAGGCACCACTAATGTGCAGTCAACGCTTACATTGTTTGGTTAGACATATAAGGCATAAAAAGAAGCTGGATGTATTTTGTTTTTAATAAGCAGTGTAATGAAATGTCATGTTAATTAAAACAATCTAACTTGATTTTTAGCAGAACTAAAGTCAATTTATTATCACACACATTGTCTACACAAGTTCCAGCTTGTTTGTCAATTTTGAACAGCAACATCCCGACCTACAAGTACATCTTGCAGGATCTTTTATCTTTTTTTTTATCTTCTAATATTTTTTTAATTCTTCAGGTTTCCATGTTTCATCAAGACGGTGTGTGAAGAGACCATGGTCTGAGGAGGAGATACAAGCTGTGATGAAACATATGAGGCCTTTTATTGAAAACGGTGTCACTGCCACCAGTGAGCAGTGCCTGAAGTGCAAGGAAAAGGAACAACCTATCTTGGAGAAAAGATCCATTCAGAACATTCAAGATTTTGTGCGCAACAGGGGCTTAGCCTTTAAAAAACATTCAAATGTTAAACGCTAAATGCACTTTTGGATAGCCTGAGCCTTTACCTTTCTAGGCATGTTTTGCAAGTTGCTGTCCTATGTTCAGAAATGGTTTAGGTCACTTAAAGGTTAGTTCACCCAAAAATGATAATGATGTCATTAATGACTCTCCCTCATGTTGTTCCAAGCCCGTAAGACCTCCATTCATCATCTTAACACAGTTTAAGATATTTTAGATTTAGTCCGAGAGTTTTCAGTCCCTCCATTGAACATGTATGGCCGGTTTACTGTCCTTGTCCAGAAAGCTAATAAGACTTAATCAAAGTAGTCCATGTGACATCAGTGGGTTAGTCAGAGTTTTCTGAAGCATCGAAAATACATTTTGGTCCAAAATAACAAAAGCTATGACTTTATTCAGCATTGCATTGTCTTCCGGTTCTGTTGTCAACTCCACAGTTACCCTGCTGATGACGTGTTATCTGGTGCGCCCGAGCGTCGTTTACAGTCTGGGGGAGACGCACACTGTATTCAAGCTATTCTACATTGTTTGTATTTTAGTATTGCTATATTTTTTTACAATGGTGCGTAAGTGTGCATGTCGTTGATCCTAATCGCCAAAAACACTCAGGCGCACCAGATAACACGTCATCAGCAGGGTCACTGTGGAGTTGACAACAGACCGGGAAGAGAATACAATTGTATTGTTTGCTTGAAATGCTTCAGAAAACTCTGACTAACCCACTGATGTCACATGGACTACTTTGAAGTCTTTATTAGCTTTCTGGACAAGGACATTAAACCGGCCATACATGTTCAATGGAGGGACAGAAAGCTCTCGGACTAAATCTAAAATATCTTAAACTGTGTTCTGAAGATGAACGGAGGTCTGACGGGCTTGGGGCGACACGAGGGAGAGTCATTAATGACATCATTATCATTTTTGGGTCAACCTCATCTTTTAATTTAATTTATTTATTTTATTATTAAATACATTTTATTTATTAATCCTTTAATTTATTTTGCTTACAGGCAGTTTTTTTGTTTTGTTTATTTTGCTATGTGGTTACCCTGGGCCTTTTAATGTCAGGATTCACTTTTATTTTTATGTTCATTTTTACAATGCTGTCCTTTTAAGGAACGGATTCTTGAGTTGACCAAATCAAATATATTTCAGTAATTCAACAAATGTTGTGTTGTGTGTTAATAATGACAAACCTATATTATTTTCAACATTATTAGCTTAAATGCAGATGAATTACGTTTAGTAGTCAAACAATTAATTATGGTAGATTTTTTCATAAACCTATCTACATACCTATAATATTTATACTCTAGCGCATCTAAAGTCGAGGTCAGCCGAGTCTAACCCTATACTCTAGCGCATCTACACATCGACTGCGGCTGGGTGCTAATCCTATACTCTAGCGTAGAGGTTTAGTTCCAACCTGCTTCAGCACACCTGCCGTCGTATTTTCAAGCAAACCTGAAGAGCTTGATGAGCTGATTCAATTTATTTTTAGAAGGCATCTCACGGAAGCAGTAGGGTTGGCAGTTCTGTAATATATTCCATATTATTATTATGGTGTGCCTCAGTCACTTTGGTCTTATAATCCTTGTGTCCTTTCAAAGCAGGTTATATTTGGTGTATGTGTCTGGTGACCTGGCCTTATACACCTTGTGTCCTTTCAAAGCAGGTTATACTTGGTGTATGTGTATGGTGAAATCATTGACCCTGTACACCACACTGTCCTTATAGACCCTGTTACAGAGAAGTCTTTACAAACCACCAAAAAGTCAGTAAAAGAGCCATTTTTTATATCTCAGTTGTGCAAAGAAAATATTTAAATTTTAAGTCGTGTATAGGTTCGCTGATTTTTTTCATGATTTTTGATATGTATTTTGTAGCTCTAGCACCACTGGAACCCGGTGTCCCCGTAGCCCTATACCCAGTCTGATTTGTCATAAATTTAAACAATTGTCCCTTTAGTCCGACGTGTGTGTGTGTGTGTGTGTGTGTGTGTGTGTGTGTGTGTGTGTGTGTGTGTGTGTGTGTGTGTGTGTGTGTGTGTGTGTGTGTGTGTGTGTGTGTGTGTGTGTGTGTGTGTGTGTGTGTGTGTGTGTGTGTGTGTGTGTGTGTGTGTGTGTGAGTGTGAGTGTGAGTGTGAGTGTGAGTGTGAGTGTGAGTGTGAGTGTGAGTGTGAGTGTGAGTGTGAGTGTGAGTGTGAGTGTGAGTGTGAGTGTGAGTGTGAGTGTGAGTGTGAGTGTGAGTGTGAGTGTGAGGAGGAACTGGTCATCAATCATGAGCTTTGCATATATATATATATACACACACTTAAGTCCTCCAGGACTTTTAAGCAATATCCTGATAAACATTATCCTTTTTGTTAGTAGCAGGTGAGTAAAAACCATGTTCCTTAAACCAAGAAGTACAAATAGTAATACCTACTAAGAAATACAGCAGGAGTATAGTGCCGATAATTAAAGCAAAACAGGCTCCCAAATCTTTAAGAGGATTCCAAAGAGAATTACCAATCAAATTTCCAACCCAAGAAAAGATATCAGTAGAAGGCTCACTACTGTTTTCAATTTCATCCCTTAACCGAGTCATATGTTCGATCACATCAGTCATGTTATGATCTATATCTGGGATATACGTACAGCATTGATCTCCGATTACAGCGCAGACGCCTCCATCTTTTGCAAGGAGGTAATCTAAAGCAGCTCGGTTCTGTAAGGCCACTAATTTCACACTTTTCATTTGATCAGTCAGTAAATTAAATCCTTCAATAGCATAATTAGCAAAAGATTCTAATTGCATGCTAATATTATCAATGACATGAGCATTTTGCACTGTTCCATACCAAGGAAAAAAGCCTCCCACAGTTTTCCAATGTGGTGAGATTCTAATACGCGGTATGTTGTATGTTCCACGTTTTTGTCTAGTGAACTTCTTATTTACAATTTGATCATTTGGGGGAATGAAGGTCAGTGAGGTTGAGAGATAGCCAATATAACAACACCCTGACCATTGCGGTGGTAACCATTAGTAAGCATTGTTACCGCAAATTCAGAATTTTATTTTTCAACGATCCGTATTGTTCTTGTGAGGTTGGAATGATTGAATCGGTGTAAACTGAGACATTTTCAAATGTCTTGGTAATGAATTGGTAATTAAAATATAACTTATAGATTTTGTCATGGACCACATTTTTGCAGAGGAATTTGTTGGACCCCAGAAAGGATTATTATTTACATATCGTTTGGCACAACGTGAATGTCCAATCCACTTATTCTTAATTCCGGAATTTTGACACACACACACTGGAGCTATAAATTTAGGTTTAACATAGACTTGAATAGCTTTAGGCATGGTGTCGTCTCTAATAGCTTTAACGTCTGCCTTTGCTGGAACAGAGTCATGGGGGTGTATATACTCACAACTTGAAGCACATTCTTTAAAAATATCAATGTCAATACCGAGTGTGATCAGTTCATGACTAATATTAGACAACAAAGTTGAACAAGGAACTTTTGGAAGATAATAAGTCATTGCCTGTAACCACATTATACATTTGAATTCAATCTCTTGAATTGACACTGGTTGAACTCTGAATGGTTTG